AATTACTGGAAGATAGCAGTTCTGGCCAAAAAAAATAATAATAAAATAATAAAATAATTTTTTAAAAAAAGAATTTTAAACAAATTTTTTTAAATGTCAGTGGCATCTGCCAAATGGAATTACAACTTCCCTTGGACAAACTAAAGAGAGAAAGATTTGAAGAGAAAGGTTAAAAACTGATACAGAAAGGTACAATTTTACTGCTAATTTATTATAGTTTTATACACCCCCTACTTTTATCTGTAAAACTTTTTTAGGGCCAGGAAGGTCCAGTAGTGTCACTTGGGTATAAGACAGGTGCCATTCAACATTACAACTTACTCTACCCCAGAATTATTCAATCCAAGTAAATGTTAATTAGCATGTATTTCTATTATAAAACATGAAAATGATTTGACACTGTCACTATTTTCTAAATGGAACAAACCCAGCCAACAAGACAATTGTGTAACTGATGTTTCTGCCAGCACACCCACAATATTAGCATTATTTCATAAACTAGAATACAGAAGGGGGACAACTCCATGGTACAGCGGTAAGACACTGCTCCCATGAAGCCAGGTCCCATATGGTGACTGCTGTTTGAATCCTTGGTCCAGGCAGTCAATGCCCAGGATCTGGTGAGGGAGGACTAGTGATAGGGATTACAGCGTGAGCCAATCCTGTGGTGAATGCTCCTTTTTCTCTCTCTCATGTGCATGCCCTCTATCACAAATAAAAGAAAAATTTTAAAATAAATAGTACAAAATATATTCAGCAAGAATTTATTAGTGGGTAATGCTGGAGAAAATTCTGCAAGCATAGTCTAGGTATAGTTTATGAAAGGAGTGATTGGTGAGAAATCTCTCCCATGCAGAGGAAGAATTCAGAATAGATATCCAGTTTTGAGCATGAAAATGGTCATAACATTCTCTATTACTCTTATTTAATTGCAAGATATATATGTCTAAGAGACTTCCCAGATAGTAGTCATGGAGAAGAAAAACATGACACTGAGAAGTTCTCTTGGCCCATCTCCAGTAGCATACGAGGTAAGGCATAACTGTGTGAGGCTTGGCCACATGGGAAGTCCAGGTTCTGTTCCTAGGTATGCTACATAGGTTGGACACAGTAGCTTGTACCTCTAATCCTGGCTAACCAAGGCACTGGGACAGGAGTATTGCAGCGTAGTGAGATCATTTCAAAAATACTTCTCTCTCTCTTCCTCTCTCTCTCTCTCTCTCACACACACACACACACGCACACACACACACACATGATCTGTCTGGAAGAATTTATCAGATCCTTTATTGTTCTTGTGCAATCCTATGAAAACCAGAATCAACCTATTCACCCTGTATCTAGAAGATTTTTGTTTTTGCTATAGGAGTGTGCACTCTCCAGACAGAGACAAAAAAGCTGGGCAGGGGACAGGGGAGGTTAGAAAGCTACATCACAATCCCTTCTCCTCCACTCTCTTCTTGAGATTTTGGACACACACCCACATGTGTGCGGTGTGATTTTCAAGCCACTAGGTCCAGGATTCAGACCACACCGTCAGCCATGGAGGATTCAGCATCTTAACCTCCATGCCACTTGTTGGCCCAATCTAGAAGTTTTCATTAGCTAACTGTACGTAAAACAACCTGAACGCATACTTTCCCAGAGCTTCAGCATTCTCAGGTACCAAATACTGAAATACTCCTATTGGATTATAGTAGGTTGTGGGGCCAGCCAGTGTTAACATGCAGTGCTCTGAGAGACTGACCCACATGGAAAGTTCTAGGTTCCTGCCTAGAGTCCTTCCTGAGTATGTCAGACACATGCCTGCCCATGATTGGGGCCAGCTGAAGATGGGCGTAGGTTGCAGCATACTGACCCTGTTAGCAAATACTGAAATACTCCTATTGGATTATAGTAGGTTGTGGGGCCAGCCAGTGTTAACATGCAGTGCTCTGAGAGACTGACCCACATGGAAAGTTCTAGGTTCCTGCCTAGAGTCCTTCCTGAGTATGTCAGACACATGCCTGCCCATGATTGGGGCCAGCTGAAGATGGGCGTAGGTTGCAGTATACTGACCCTGTTAGCAAACTCTCTCTCTCTTCCTCCTTCCCTCTCTCTCTCACTTAAGAAGTAAAGAAAGAAAGACTCTCCCAGGATGAATTTATTGAGACTCTCAGTCCTTAGTGCCCGTGGGTGATTGCTGTTTTTAGAGTCCTCAGAAGATTGACAGCATACCCTGAACAGGACTAGCTTCCTTGAACAGTACTCCTTTGATGATTTCTGACCAGTTGACTTTTGTAGATCCACTTTTCATAAGGTGGGGTTGGTCAATGTGGTAATAGACATGAAAAACAAAAGGATTCTGTGGTCAAAAAGTTCAGTGTATACTGCGTTAAATGTGGTTCAATAAGTCCTATAATTCTGGGACTTGTCACTGTTCCTGTGTATGTTAAAGGCTAAATTTAGAGTTAGACTGACTGGGTTCAAGGCCAACCTCCACTACTTATCATTATATTACCTTGGGCGAGGTATTTAACCTCTATGCACCTCAATTTCTTCATGTCTAGAGTTGGTATTATAATGGTATCTATCTTATATGGTCGTTCTGAGTTTTAAATAAATACTTGTAGGCTACTGTAGAATAGGACCTCACAGGCCAGCCAATAGTGTGGTAATTAAAGCAGCCAGATCCCACATGGCTGACGGCATGGTTTGAATCCTGGACTTGGCAGCTTGGAAAACACACAAGACACATGTGTGTGCATGCCCAAAACTCCAAGAAGAGAAATGGAAGTGAAAAGATTGCGGTGTGGCCATACTCCCGCACAGGTGGCAGGCAGAAAGCAGGTGGTTTCTCATTTTCCCTCTCTCTCTCCTGCAAGTGCATGTGCTCTATAGTAAAATTAAGAGGAAAAAATAGCACCTGACATAGTAAATCCCCTCAGTGTCTGCTAATCTTACTATTGTGTTGTCAGAAAAGTCTTGACGTATTTTAATCTATGTAAAAATGCATCATGACTTTTCTGATAACCCAGTAATATGTCTTTTAAATCTTAAAGATTAAACTGGATTTTTTTTTCTAAATCAATTTTTTTATTTGCTTTTGTTAATACATTAAATCACATTATTTAGCTTACAAGGCGATCATTTCAATATGTGAACATTTCTTCCCGGTCTAAAGTAGATGTTTTATTCCTTTACTCATTCAATTAGCCCACACACATAGTCCTATTTATCCCTTGTACTTCTAACGGACAAGTCGTGATAAAAAATATATAAACCCAGTAATATTTCATCTTTTTTGTTGCATGCTTGCTGCATCTCAGATATAGTCTAGTCTGTGTTCAGGATCCACAGTGTAGGCAGTGTTTTATTCCAGAACTCTCCCCCGCCCTCCCTTTTTTTAAAGAATTATTTAATTTTTATTCATTTATTTATTTTAATTTGACGAGAGAGACACACATACACAGAGAGAAAGTGAGAAAGCAAACTACCAGGTCCAGGTCTCGAATACTGGCCAGCCCATGTAGGAATGTCCGGCACCTTAATCACCACACCACCTTCTGGTCCCTTTCCAGAACTCTGAGTCTCCTGATGATGGTACTACGAAGACAGGCAGCAGTGTCGAGCTGAATATGAAGTGCTCTGGGCTTTGCTGACTTCTTATTCCT